ATGTGTCTTTTTTCGTCAGCATATATATAGGCCTATATTTTAAATTATAAAGTATTATATATTATTAAAGGTTAAATAGACGTATATAGATTATGATCAAGGCCGGATTTATACATGCTATAACTGAGGGCCTTATGCTTGTAAACTTATTACTATTTGATAAAGAAGGGCCTCTTATATTATAATTTAGGGTCTTAATGAGTTTAAATCAGGCCTCTAATTGTGTATCGCAATAACGTTAAGTTGGTAATTAACAGAAGCGTAAAATATTAAGAGAGGAGCAAGATGAAAACACGTTTATAATATATTAAATGAAGTAAAATCTGAGTAAAAATAATAATAAAATTGAACACATTAGATATAATGTGTTCAATTTGAGTTCTTAATTTCGTATTAACAGATTAAGAAAATGAAAACATAGAAATAATACAAAAAAAAGGTTTCCAATCCAGGATTTTGTATATCTAAACACTAACTAGAGCTTTTTAGAAAGAGAAATTATATAATATAAATAAAAAGGAAGATCTATCGAACAATATCATTAAAAAATACAATTTATAACATTTCTTCTGTTACGATTTGCATAGACAAAAAATTCCCAAATAGGTGCTATCCCATTGAAGATTCAAGGAGAAGCTGGAAGGTAGGGGTAATGTTGGAAGACAAGGAAAACAATATATATGCACTAAAAGGGTGTTATAGTCTGAAAAATTTTGGGAACACAAGCACAATGTGGGTATGTGTCATCCTACCTTAAGTGAAAGTACTCGAAAGAAGAATTAAAGATAATAATCTAATGTGTTAAATACATACCAATTGGTTCTGGTAGGCTGTCACAGCAGTAAAAACAGCTTCAGAGAAGATAAAAGTGCGATATTCTTCAGATTCCAAATCGGTTATGACCGAATTTTGACTATGACATTTCCTCTTCACTATGTGTATTCTAGGTTGGTACCTGTGCATGGAGTTGAGTACGATCTGCTGGAAAGAATAAGAATGAATTAATATTTGTAGGAGATATTAACAATAATAATAATAATTATTATTTTTCCCCCCTATCCAAATGAATAATAGCGATATATTTCATTAAAATATTAGAAATGGTTCGATACAACAGTACGCTGCAAGCGATGGCCTTGGGGTAGGTGCTGTACAAGGCTGTACTTCGCCCCAAGACGGCTATCACACCGAAGTAAAGGCCCGAGGAGAATAAAAGAAAGCGGGATTGGCAGGTGGGGAACAAGGGGAAGATGAGCAAATCACGTGACGCCCAACTGAAATATGGTGTGTTGTCACGCGAAGCCAAACTTTCACACTTGTAGCGCAGATTAGACTAAATCAAGGAGTCAATAGATGCGACACTAAGACGCCGATGTGTCAGGAGTAGTGCCGGTAAAATTAATAAGCGATCTGTTTGAACGTGTTCTGTGTATGTGTGTCTGTGTCTGTGTGTACGTATGTGTTTGTATGTATGTATGTGTGTATGTGTGTGTGAAAATAAACGGGGTTATTCAACTCCCTACTTGAAAGGAAATGTTAAGAAACGAGTGTGTGGTCTTTTCCGTAGGATGAGATGTCGGAAATGAAGGATGTGTTCTAAGTTATTGAGACGCCGTTTTTTCTCCTTGCGGTATATCTTATCGTTTATTAACTGGTTGCGATAGATCAAATGGAGTAGACGTTGAAATACCTACAGGTGATTGTTAGTTGAAACGACTTTTTTTTCCAATTTTTTTTTTTTTTTGAAAAATTTCACACCTGTTTTTAAATTAAGTAAAGTTAACATTACAAATTTTGTTAAATTGCTCTATTTAATATTTTTTTAAACAATTAATATACGTCAGTTTTGAACTTTTAAAACGCATTCTGTTTGTTTAAATGATTAATTCATGATTTATTTTTCATTTGTAATTTTTCATCGCGGGTTTAATAAAGCAATGTTAAATATTTTATTTACCTTATTTTTTTTTCTTTGTCTTGAACTTAAATAAAGTAAATTAATTAGAAATTTTAAATAAATTTTTAAATTACGAATATTAATTTGCTATTTTGGATACAAAAATCCTTTAATGAGATATTTAATTAACAGATTTAAAAAATGCAGTTTTGTAATGTTTAAATATAGGAATATTCATATTTTTATCGCATTTAGAGCTGATATATGATTATTATTGCTATATTTTGCTGCTTTATCATTATATTTTATTGTTAATTTAGCAAATTCTTCAACTTAACATCTTTTAGAGCTTGTTGCTAAGTATGATATTATGTCATTTTAATAAGATCTATCTCATTCTTAACTTAATTTTTACAAATTTTTTCTCCTCCCTTATAATTCTAAACTCTTCCTCTACATATTTAAGAACGGTCGCCATTTTATTTGAAATTTAGTTACTCCTAAAACTAATGTAATAATAACTTTGTAAAGGCAGTTAGCAATTTTTAAAACAAGTTTAAATCTGACACTTTATACATTTTTTAAAAGAACGAAGGTGAAACAATGGCGCGATGGCTTCAACACAACATCGTTTCTCTTTATTCACCTGCAGCTCAATCGACGTGTGTGTTTGCTCGCCTCACAATCATCCATCACTAATGAACGTTGCCTCGATCTAATATACTTTGTGCAGTAAATTGCGCGTCCAACGTCGAAATATTAATCACTTTTTTAGTTAATGGAATAGTCCTGCGGATACAAGCAAAGTTGGGTCACGTCTTCGATTTCTTTACTGTCGAAGAAACGAAAAAAAAAAATGACGCTACACTTCTATTTTTGTTAATATTTTCTATGCTTTTTTTTTTTAAAAAAAGAAGAAAAATTCTCTATCTAATTCTTGATATACTTTTATTTTTTTCTTTTAAACTTTACAACAGTTTAGCATTGTTTAATTAGATCTTAATGAAAAGTGCCGACTGTGATTTTTTTTACTCCAGCTTTAACTTCATTAAGAGAACGGTTCCAAAATTTCAATCGGTCTTTCAAAAATATTTAATTGTTATTCTGTAAATTACTGAATGGAAAAAGAAAGAAAAAAATAATAAAAGAAAAGGTTAAAAATATTATTTACAAGCGACTTTTTTACGTCTTAAAGTATTGTTTCCGATCCTCCCACTCTGCTGTATAATCACTCATACATAAAATGAATGTATTAATTTGTAACGCATCGTTGTTTAAACACTATTTAAAATTATACTATAGGAAGGTGAGAAAAACGTGTGAACAACGTTTCTTCGGAACTTGTAGAGGTCAAACATCTTAATTTCGTTTTATAAAAAGAAGAAGAAGAAGAAGAATTAATTTAATTTATTTTTAAACTGTTTCCTTTCGTATTGAGAACCCCTTTCGGGTATGGTATAAAATTCTGCAAAATTTAAGCTTCTGGAGAATTTTAGAAGTTATTTAAATATTTTAATAATAATTTAGTATCGTGTACGTGTGTAATTCTTAATAAAGCTTAACAGTGACGCGTTTTTATGTGTTATATATATATACGAGATGAGATGTTTAAGATGGAAAAACATGTAAACTTACATGCCCCTGTTTATCCATTTCGTTATTAGTGAGCTTTACTTTTTCGAAAGACACCACTTGCTTCTTTAGCTGGTCCCCTGTGAAAGGTGAATCGGGATGGACGTAGAGACGAGGTGGAGAAGGTGGATCCGCTTTGCCAGCCACAAGCCACGAAGATCTGTGATAAGCATAGCGATACCTCTTGTTGTCCACGGGGACAATGTCCAGTAATACAGCGTACTTGGCTTCACTGTTCAATCCGGTGAAGGAGACCCTCAGGGTAGGAAACATCCTCCTGCAATTAGTTGTGACAGATGTCTGTACTTGTGAAGTCCTGCTACTTAATGGTAAAAAGTGCTAGAGGTGACAGCTTTACCTGACATCGTTGCTTCTTTTATTATTATTATTATTATTATTATTATTTTTGTTCGCGATATTTATATTAAAATTTTAAATTATACTTAAATTTTAAAAAAAAGTTTTATTTTACTATAATAAATAAATAAAATTATTGTTAAATATTTCAATTAGAGAAATTTTATACTATTAATCTTAATTAATCTTATTTTAATTTTTTATGTTAAAATTATGTAATAAATTAAGAACGGAGCTTAATTATATTTTGAATTATGCAAATTTAGCAAAAAATAAGTGTTAAATAAGGAAAAAATTTCGAGAACGGTGACCTTTAGAGCGTGGGAATTGCTACTGCTCTATGCATCTACGTGTGTTTAAAAGGTTTCTTATATGAAAATCGCTTAAAATGCTGATTAAATTTAATTACACGAGAAAATATAAGGCTACAGACTTTTATAATATATAAAAATATATAGTTCTTAATGTGTAAATAATTCTTAAAAATTTAGAGAGAAACTAGAGCGTGAAATTAACTTTTATTACATAAAAGGTGGACCCAAAAATCAGTTAACAAGGTACACTAAGAAATATTAATATAAATGAAATCATTTAGAATACTCATTATTATTTACAAAATTAGTAGAAACATAATCAGAGCCGTCGAGTGCTTGTATGAGGCCCGGATAGTGCGGCCCCCTTTTGTAATTTCCCTTGTAATTTCTTATTAATGTAAAGTAGTATTAAATATTTTATTTTGTGTTAGTAAAAGTAACATTAATTTTATAGGTGTAGGAACGATTACGGGCCCGTAATGGACGTAAAATCTCCAGCTTCCCCTTCCCCTCGATGGATCTGAACACGATAGAAATATAATTAAGTATTTGAATAAGATAATTTAGTCTTTACAATCGTTAACGGACTTTTGGACCACCCTGTACTAATTGAATTTTATTATGGTTATTTCATACTTGAAATTTTTAAAATATGTTCGGAATTATGTATGAAAATTTGAAGTATTTAATGATCATAATTAACAATTATTATTACTCGAAAAATTGATCTAAATTGAATTAAATTATACGAATTTATGATATAAATCCATATGCTTGTGTATTAGTCTATATGAAACGAAGATGTAATATAATCTGAATGCATTAAGCCCTATTGTTTCAGCTCCAATTTTGTTTAAGCTTCTAATAATAGAATAAATTGTTTTAAAGAGTTAACTTCAGCATGTTCTAAGCAACTTTAATGAAAAATCTATGCAATATTTTAATGCAAATTATAATAAATTTACTCTAAATAAGTATATTACAACATTTATTTATAGGAGAAAATTTATCAAAATATTCAAATTAAAAGCAAAATAATAAGGTAATTAATTCTTCCTGAAGTTTTTAAGCAAAGATTAAGACATTTTAAATTAATTACGTACGAGTTAAATAAATTTAAAGCCTCAACGCACGATAATTTATATAAAAGTAGTTAAGTTTAAGAAGTTTAACGTTTAGTTAGCAAAATTATTAAGAGAAAAATATGAATAATTGCAATCAACTTTAGAAAACTCTAAAAATGAGGGAAAACTTTGAACGAATATAGAAATCAATCCAAGAACATCATGCAAAGCGTGTAACGGGGCTACTTCCATTTAGAATTACATCTGGTGGTCCCATGAATCACCTTCTTACAGCACAGACTATCCACATTAGATATGCATTGGTGTAACCTATCTAAACGCATTTTAGAACTTGCTGTTACATACTCTAGAATGTGACACGCTACAGACGTTGCTATAGATTTTGAGTGCAAACACGCGATCACTATTTCTGCACCATATTCTGTCAGCACTCCTGTTTAAAATGGTTCATTTTCTATCATATTTTTTATATCTGCAAACAGTATTATTTATTTTTTTTTTTTACTTATTTTTTTCCTCCCCGTCGTCTTCCAACTTATCTAGAAAGCTGCGAGAAATATCTACCATCTCACGCACGTCTTTCACCTATTTCACCTTCCCCGCCTTTTACAGGAACATCAGATTGTGCACTTCACCTCATAAATGTTTCAATTGGTCATTTTACAACATATATTATAAAATAGTAACAATATTTTACAGAAAAAATAAATTTAAAAGCTTCGGAAAATCTCGATTCGTCCGTGAAGTACGTACTAATGCTGATTATAGCAATTTCTTATCGCTTGCTGATGCAAGAGTTAAGTCTGAATGCATTTTAAAGTTATCGGTAAAGGTAAAGAGATTCGAGTAGAGAAATAAGTTAGAAAATAAAAACCCTTGAAACTCGTAATGAATGATATAAGGTTTGTAACTCTTAATACGTCTCAGAGGCCCTGTTAGATCGAATCGAACCAATCTGTCTGGTTGCTAAACGTGACGTTAAGTCGCTGTGCAGTGCTAATCGACGCGTCGAAACTCTCTCGTCTATTTGTCAACATAAGTAAGCTTCTTGAGAGATAAGAAAAAAAGGTATCTTCCACAATTGTCCTCACGTACACTTTTATAGTTAGCTTATGATTCAGAATACAAGCAAATTAAGTATCTCTGAAGGAGTCCACCGCTTTCACTAGAGAAAAACTTCTTTACAACGAAGGCGAAATTCATTTTTATCACGTTAAATAGAGGGGTAAAAATCCCTTATAACAACGACGAAATTAATTTTTAATACATTCCGAACAATAGTCGATTTTTAGAATAAATAAAATATCGGTAATTTTTCATTTTTAGGATTTAAAAAAAAATACATTTTACGAGTTACGTGATTGTTTAAATTTAAGAAATGCGTAATAAGAAGTTTTAATATTCGTCCCGAATTGCAGAACAATTTACTAATGCTTGCAAAGGCCACTGTAGACACGATGTTACCTAAAATTGCAGGTAGAAAAAAACGTGTTGAGGGTCAACCAAAGTCGGTTGTGCCAGAGTATCCCCTATTACATACGATTCCTTCACACCCAGCAAACTCGCCATCCACTTACTGAAGGTGGAATCTCATCTCCTTACTAGAGTTGAGTGCATCACACACAGTCCGGAGGGACAGTACGATGTGTATTTGAAGGTCTACAGAAAGTAATGGTCGGAATCCGATCACTAAGTCTAACTGCAACAACCGTGCCTAGCAATTGCCGTCTATTTTTTCTTTTTCTTTTTTTTTTCTTTCTTTTTTTCCTGTTTTCTCGTAGATGTAATGGGATTCTGGAAGGCGAGACACGTAACAGTCCAAAATGTTCCCCATCGACTGTTTCTTACGATACAAAATTTTTTTCTCCGCTTCTCTTTTCCTCCTTGTTTTAGAAAAATGAAACGTTGCAGTCTCTCCCAGTGGTCCTTTTTTGTGTCCGAAGATTTTAGAATTTATTTTAACTTTGCATTTGCACTTTGCGCTGTTTTGAGAGATTGTCGGAGTCATCGTTACGTTGCATGATTATTCTGCAAAATGGCTCCTTCAGGGATGGAAGGACCGCACGTTCTAGTGTAATACGTGTATTTGGATGTAATGCAATTCAAAATATTTTCTCTTCTTCCTTTTTTTTTTAATTTTTTTTGCTTTTCTTGTGGATAAACTGTATATTTGATCGTATCGAAATAATTTATTCGAAGAGAAATTTTAATAAATTTTACCATTAATAGAATCTTTAATGAGTTTATGGATAAAATTCTTCGAACAACGTGCAATTCTTTACGCCTTGATGACCAGGAGTAATGCTGTTAGAGTTTACAAAATGATCGTAAGCATTAGCGAATTATCTTACAAGCTTGATGAAATGCCCCTTAAAATGCCTAATAATTACTTTGCATAAATTACATTGGAATCTAAATATCTAAACATCCATTTCTAATATTGTTACGTCTAAATCATGCAACAATTTGTAGTAGGCCTAATTGAGATGAAATTACTGATATTGTTACAAGTTTCTAAACAGTTGAAACATGATAATTAACTCTAAATGCTTTCATAAGAGAACTCTCATGCCAAAACTTTAGCGGAATTTAATTATATTATCGAGAATAGTTACGTCTAATTTAACTACGGAGAATATCAAATTTCGATATAATAGGTCTGAGATAGGAAAAAAAACCTGATTTGTAACATAGGCCTAATTAGGAAAATGTTTTAATGTAACTAGAACTCAGTTTGCAACATAACTAGACTGTAGATTATGTTGCAAATTGAGCTCCAGGCTTGAACACAGGCCTAATTGGATAAGTGACTTAATGCAACTAGAATTTGCATTTTTTATGACGTTCTTTGGAGTTGATGTGTCTTTTTTCGTCAGCATTTTCTTACGAGTAATACACGATAATTATTAATAGAATAATTTTCTTCTATTAAATCCGAAGAAGATCAGTTTCCGTAATTCTGTTCTATTCGTAAATTACGGATTATTGGGAATAAAGAAATTAGAATTTATTAATTTGTAAGAAAATGTAGAGAAAATGAAGCATAAAGCTTAAGTATATCTAAATTTGAATGCGAGTTTAGAACGGGTTATTCGAGTTTATCTCTTAACAGCGAGGAAAGCTAGCATTAAATTTCAAAGTGGATACGTCAATCAAGAGAAAATCAAGCTACAACCAGTTTAAATTTTGAATAAATCTAGTTACAAATCCATTCCAGCGATAGCGAAAGTAATAAATCATTGAGTGAAAACCTAGAACAGAATCATTTCTCAGTTTTGGCAATGATGAAAAACTGAAAAGAAATTCTTTCTTTCATCATTACCAAGGGGAGATCAATATTGCCATCTACTCGAAATTTATTGCATTGTTTTAGAATAAGAGGAGGAAAAAAATCATCTCATACGATCATCACAGTTATCCTCAGAGGTTTCTTCCTACTTTAACAACTTTATTTCGTATAAATCAATTTTAAATATAGGCTCTTTTCGAGGCCGGTAACTTAGAGAACGTAAGAGATTATGAATGCATTTTGTAAGTATTTGAAACATTGAAGAGAAATTTAAAAATGGAAGGCAATAAAGGCAATTCTTGGAAGACTTTTAAGAAGTAGTAAAAATGTTATTCTTTGTTTGTGTACAGAACATCGACTCCTCGAAGGATCAGTAGCGGTTCGTTAGACATGGTAGCGGCTTGCTGTCATCGGTAGTAAAAAGTACCGCTGTCTGTAGCAGCTGCGGCTGGAACAAATGACCTGCCAGTATGTGCAGTCCCATCTGTCTGATCTACCATTAAGGACGGACCAACTGTCCGAGCCGCACTCTGTCATACGCGGCCGCGGGCTAAATGTGTCCCACGGTTTTTCTACGAGAATTATTAGTGTTATCCCCCATTGATGCTGCAATCAAGTCCCCAGGCAAGCCCTTCTTCAATTCTCCCTTCAACTTTTAACCAGTGAGTTCCGGATCTGTCATTCTGTAAACTTAAGTGTGCAGAAAATGGCTAAGCGGAGAGTCCGAGTACAGTACAGTACGTTCGTGTATCGTCGTCTCCCAGGAGATGTCATCCCGTGCTCCGTTTAAAACGGTTTAAACCTTCTACACGGGCTACAGAACTCATCTTATACGTCATTCCAGGAGTCGAGAATTGTAACTCACTCAAAGATTTAATTAAAACTGCTCCGAGTTTTTGTGTACGTTTCATCAATGGGATTCAGCAGAGTGGAAAATTAGTGGTGGACAATCGAGAGAAATTGTACATGTCGGACGTCCCATTTTTCGCACACACTATAATTATTTCATTAGATAAGCGTCGCGCGCACTTTTATGTTTACGCTGATAAATTCCTAACCTGTCGAAACAACGCGGGTGGTCGAAATTCAAATCCGTTTGGCTCTTTTCTATCAAATCTTACATTATTTTTTTTACTTTTAACGTATTCTCCGGAAGTAAAATTGCTTCTTAATCTTCATACACGCACGACGGCCTTCTGTTACGGTAACCTTTCTTTCGACTCCATTCGGGTCTTTCGTGATGACTTCTCATCGCTTACGACAGCCACAATGAATATAAAAATATCAAAGAGGCTGTGATATTCCTTCTCTCGCGTTGCTTTCTAAGATATTCACAATCTGTCAACAACTTTTTGATTATAAAATGTTTCTAAACCGAAATAAAATGAATATTTTGGCATCGAGCCACAACGCTCCAGTCAGGTTAGACTGGTTTTCTTAGCGGTGAAGATAATGTCCGTGTTGACACATTCGTCTATAGGCCTGCGCGACTCGGCTAGGATTTTAATGCCTTTTAATACGCTTAATTAAATCGGTAATATTTTAATATACGATGATAGCGTGGCTCAACCCTTCTAGAATATTTGCTACATACAAAAGGCATTTCTGACTCGCATTCTTCCATAAATTATCATATTTTACTCTAACAATTAAGTTAGAAGAAGTTAACGTTGCGTGATTTTCTGATAAAGAAAATTTAAAAAAATTAAAAAAAAACAATGAAAGAATTTATCTTTAAACGACCTAAGGTTAGGGTAGGGAAGAGATTTATGCACGCCTGTACGCCTACTTGAACTTAAACATTATTATACAAGTTTGAAGCAAAAGTTGTATAGAAATAGCCAACTAATAGCTAAGAATGGGGAAAAGATATTTTAAGGGTTAATGAGAAAAGGCTTTCAGTCCTTATCTTGCCAGCCTAAAGGATGACTTAATACAGTCAAGATGAGTTGGCAGGCTATAAAGATTATACACAGACAGCCGACAAAGTAAAAACTGACCGGACAACCACGTCTGCTATGCAAGTATCATATGAATTGTACGATATAGAGACTTTTACCTCCTCCTTAGAAGAGTATTGAAAACCGGAGCTTGTACCTAATACCCTACGATTAATTGAAGCTTAGGTGAATGACCTGTTATTCGGAGAGGTTGGGTGCTGGGAGGAGTCTTGAAGGAGGGAAATTGCTGAATTTCCTGGGTTGGCAATTTGTAATTATATCCGATGCTGTCTATTAATCGATTGACAAATTATAGCACCATTGGAATTTACAATTTTCTTCGAAATTCTTTCGATAAAACCTTTACACCAATCTCTTATACATAGCTTATATTAAATTGATAAGATAGAGACAGATTTAACAATGGATAATTTATCTAATTAAACTCGAGGAGCTTATGAATACAATAAACTTAATACAATAGAACTGTCAACGGTTTGGTAGATTAATCTTATTTTATTAATCACGATTCTTTATTAATCCAAAATAAATGAATGTCTTTCATTTTAATGATTGCCATCGAAGCTGAAGAATATGTATTTTTTCTTGTCTTATTTGTTTGAGAACAAGTTTAAAAAAAAAACAGTGTTATTGCACTAATGAACGTAAAAAATTGAAGAAAAAATTAATTTTGTATGGTGTTTTGTTAGAAAAACATTTGCTGAGGTTAAGGATCTGGAATATTCTAATAAATTTTTGTTTAAAATCGAGTTGAAAGTTAATAAAGTAACTTTTACCATTGATTCCGAAGGTAAACAAATGTTAAATTTGGAAAATTATGAAAGAAAATGTCGAAATTAAGCTATAAAATTCTATCTTCTAGTCATAACTTTTTAAAATTTAAATAATAATTAAATTAAATTAATCAAAAATATTAAAATTTATTAAAAATTCACAACATTTTAAAGAAATTTTTCAATATAGAAATTACGAAAATCATGTCCAGATTTGAAAATAATCTTTAAAAAAAAAGGGGGTCTCGAGTTACGAATCTATTGAGCAGGGCCCCAAAAGAGAAAGGGCCTATTATATGTTATAGCTTAGGCCCACAACAAGTCTAAGTCCAGCCCTGATATATTAAAGATTGCGTATACAAAAAAAAAAAGACAGAAAATTTGGGGGGGAAATAATATATAATTTAAAAATGGAATTTGAATCACAAAAATTCGAAAACAGCAATTTTGAATGGCGAATTTAAAAAAAAAAAAAATAATAATAATATAAAACTCAGAATTTCCAGCTCTTAAAACATGGGAAACAATAAATGTAGGAGATTTGAGAATTTCGTTTCTCAAATCTAAAACTTGGGAAACAATAAACATACGAATGCAGAGACTAGAAAATTGAATTTAGATAGTCGTGAAAGTTGGAAGGAGATTTGTAGAATTCTTTTCGAATCTCGAGACTTTAACGTGATATTTGAAGGGAGGAAGAACTTCAAAGTCTGCCATTTTGTTTTGTTTTTTCTTTATATAAATATTGACAAGGAAAAAAAAATTATAAGAGAAAACGAATAAAAGATAAAGAAAATAGTGACAAAGTGTTTTTTTCTATTCACGTGTCACCATGACGATGGGTCACGTGTGTCCCATCGTCACGATAGGTAGGACCCAACGATTATTACGAAATTCGATTTAGAGAGACAAAAATGAGTCAGCTGAGAATCTAAACATTTCTTTTTTATTATTATTAGTCCGTATGTTTGTCCGCGATTATTGAATTTCTTTCAATGTAAATTGTGTTGATGAATAGATCATTATTATTCTTTGAATTTTTTTTTTGTATATGTATCAGGCACAAAAGGCATTAGATTAGAATGATACTAAAATTTTGCACACTATCCCCTATAACATGCAATTTAGTTTTTTCAGCATAGAACACGGAGCTAGATTAATAATTCTAAGTAAACTACCAATGCAAACGTTAATAATTCTGTGTTTTTTTTGTGGATAGATTTGTGTAATTTTTATTAAAAAATTGTATATTTAATTAACGTTTCTTGTGTTTGAAATGTAAGGCCAACTTAGATTCAAACCCCCCCTTACAGTAGTGCGGTTACAACCGGACAGATGGCGACACTATACACGAAATTAATAAAATTAATTACGATTTATTAATAAATAATCGATGATTAATCGAATATTAATTAAGTAATGGATAACTGTCAAAACATACCAGTATATTTTATAGAAAATTACATATTATTCCGATAATATCTTCGAATATTTGTAATTTTTATCACGATTAATTAAATGTTTGCTTATTTCCTACAGCTTGTATAAATTACATTGACTTGTAACAATTTAAAATTAAAGTAGATGTATTGTTTAAAATGTTAAATATAATAAAGTGTATAGTTGTTTGTTCTTAGAGTAAAAATAAATAATGTAATGTAATGTGGAGGTTTACGAAGGAAAGCGTATGAGCGAGCATTGAAAAAAAAAACGAGAAAAATAAATAAAATTTACATTTATTTACTTATAGAAATGATAAAATATAGAATTTGTGGATAAAAATGAATGTAAAAGGTATTAAAATTAGCTTAAAGAGCGCTGGAATCTTTCTCATTTAGAAACTTACCTCCCTGATTTGGTGATGATCATTTCGGTGCCCAATTCATGAAATTTGTCCCAAAGTTCTTTATTTTCTAGATGACATTCGACTTTGGTGAGCTCCTCGCAGTTACATTGTGGTTTAAGTGCAGCGGCGTAAGGGTTGTTGGTCTGGTTCTTGCCGGATGAGGATGAAGGGGCAGGAGATAGATCGTTGTCTTCAACCGTGGTGCTGTCTGCCGCTTCGTCCGTGATAGGAGGAGAATTAGACCTCATACTCGCAGATGATGCGTTCTGGTGGGGAGAAATGGCTGGAGATACCGGAGGATCGGAGTCTGTGGGTGATGAAGGTGAAGTGTGCCTGTAGAACGGTGTCGTTATTGCGTTAGTGGAATCTGTGTCTGTTAATATTGATATATTTTCTAGAGGTTGCTCCATTGATTTTTCTGCGGAAGAATAATCAGATTTTAAACGTATATTCTACACAGATTACGATCCTTATCTCTAGAACTAAATTACAATTTGCTAAGGTGGATATATTAAACGCGGCCGCTATATGTATTTATTTTCTAAAATAACCAACCGGGCGGATCTTTCCCTTGAAAGAAACACGTTTACATAAGAAAATACCACACAGGAAGGTGATCACCCATGTTGCCGGCTTTGCTATGTATGTATGTGCGTATGTGTGTGTAAGTGTGTGTGGATAATTTCGTAAATTGGCTTTAATCCTTTTGTGGTGGTTTGGATACCGACAAACGACCCGGATGTTAGGGAATTAACCCCAACGACCTGGTCGGAGTTCGTTAATTGTATAGGATATAAGGAGTAATTCTCTTCCTACACCTAAGGTAAAGGGCTAAGAAGATAAATTGCTACAGACCATGAATTTTGTAACGTTTAATTCTGTTTTGTTTATCCATTTTATAGTCTTTTCTACTTAACGTTAAGAAGTAATCATTTAAGGCACGAAGGCCTATAATTCTATACATTGCAGTTTGAGAGCTAATTGAAAGTTACAATTCATACGATAGGTTACACTAAAATAGCTCTATGACTACTGTAGTTATAAGCAATGCATCTCTAAATTTACTATAGAAATTCTATACAGTAGCCAACTATGCCTATCAATCTAACAAACATAATATTGAATGATATTATAGACTAATTTCTACAAAATTGATGAGTTAAATGTGATTTAATCTATGCACAGATCAGTTATCTACACGTAAATATAGCTTAAAGCTTTATTATTAGTCACATTTATACATTAAATCCCTATTGTTTGCTTTAAAACCTTAAAGTTCTATATCCCTAATTGACCAAAAATACGAATTAACAATAAATACAACCGTATAATTCTGAAAAATAAGGTAAAATTGGGCAAGCTAAATGCAATTAGTTTGTTTCTGCATTGTATCTTATTAAGCAAATTACAATAATTAATAATAATCTTCTTATTATAATATTATTAAGTTGATTATTATTAATTAAAAATGTTCGGTTTGCAACCTTTATCCCGAAGTCACACCTTCTGTTTCGTCTAGTAAATTAAATAATTTTCACGGAAAATATTCGATTATTGAGAACCTACACACGAAACGTATGATTATAAGAACATATTTTAAATTCTATTGTAGAAATTCATGTAGAAAATAAGCTCCAACTGAATCATTTTAAATAATTGCCTGGTATTGAAATGCACATCTCGCTCGTCCATCCCATCCTACGTATGGCCAATTTAAAAAATAAAGTCTTGATAGTTTAAAACAACGAGAAATGATTATGAGTGTATTTGCAACTGAATAAGTGCATACAGTAGTAAAAATATAGGATTAAAGTATCATTATAGTAATTACTTAGGCCTGCTCCATGATCCTACTCGTTTTCACGACACGGATAAATGCTCACTTGCCTTCATATTCGTTTACATTTTCGAATTTCTACATAAACATTGCGACTATTTAGACATTACATAATCATTAAATTCACTCAAATTGTTGTTATTTAATAGTATAAAATTTAAAAAAAAATTAGAAAGTGGTTATATCATTCTTTCTTACGTCTTCTGCTCTATTAAAGTACCGAGAATTTTCTGCATTAATTAATGATATAATTACATTAAATGTAATGTATATATAGTCTGTAAATAGGATTCATTAGATGCGGTCCTATATTGTCTCAAGATACAAACTCAATTTTCTCTAATTATAAATGGTTCTACTCTTCTACGACTAAATATTAGGTGTACGACCATTTCCATATCCTATACATTAACTACTAAATAATTCATTAGTGTAGGTTATATTCAGGTGAACCTAAATGTAGATCATCCGTAGACCTATATAAAATTATTTATCTAGAAATAAACATTAATTATTCACGCGTAAAAACATATCCTGTATTAATCACAACTGTACTTTACTGTGTCTGGATATAGGTTTAATGACGACTACAATCAGTGTTGTAACACACACTAGTTTTAATATAGGTTTAATTAAAATTTATGCTAATTCTACATTGTATAGGGTTACGGGATTATAAAGCATTAAAATGCAGAGCCTAAAAGGCATTGTATAGGGCCTAAAAGCTTCTACAATATATGGCATAATGCAACCGATATAAGATAATACATTAACATACAATAAACACTGCATAATGTAGCATTACATTATCCTAAATAATATCAACGTTGTAGGCCAATTGAGTGCAAGCTTTATGTATAGCGGCCAAATTAGTACATAATATAGTCAATTTACACTATTGTATACTAATTTAATGCTCCATAGTCTATGTTAACTATTGATAAATACTTCACTATTCTATACTCGACTAAAGATAAGTAGCGAATGTTAAAGAACCTTTATTATATTAATTAATGATGTAGGCCTAAATACGGTCTCGCATTATCTAAACTTATACGTTATGCTAAATATGCAGTAAAGTATAGGATATAGGGCATAAAAATATATAGGATTAATTACGTAGTTTGCTCGCTCGACTGATTTAGGTAAATTTTAAAATATTCCTTTCGAATTAGTTGATAATTACAAGCAAGACATACAATCCTTAGATCTTAGATTTTAGGACTAATTTGCGCTTAATAAACATTATATAATTAATTATTTTTAAGTTGATTTATTTAAAAATATCTTAGAATAATAAGAAGAGTCGACGAAGATGAAAAATCTCCATTGGCAGTAAGGTTAGAAACGTCATTTCTAGAACGAAAGTAAAATAAACTTGAAAAATCTATCATGAATTAGATTAAGTGGTTGGCTTTTTCTTTTATTTATACAATTTAAGTAAAACCATAAACGGATTTTTATTACCCAAACCGACCTTTTGATCTACAGAAACTGTTAACGTCTTTCAGGACGTAAATCTTTCACGATTCGATGGAACAAACTATTCTTGAGTTATTTGGATCATAAATAGCCATTGCTACTTACACTACACACGACCGACATTCAATCTATAAACAGGATAACAACACTTTCTGGCTATTCTAGTTGCAGTTACCTATACAGTATATGCTTTATATATATATATATATCAAATCTCTCTCTACAGATTTTCGGATTTAAGCTTATATGGAGAGGAGGAATTGCTGTCACTCCGCCTTCTGTTATTCTAGTGGTTGATATCACATTGACAACTGACACACTCACATATGATAAATGTGTTCAGCATTTAGTCGGGATAAAAATGGTAGATGACTCTCTTTTCGTCTCTGGGATGCTTTTCAAAGCTGACATCTGCCAATAGGCCCACTCTTAAAAAGATAAGGGGGCAGAAATCTCTCATTGGTTATCGGTTTTGTGACATAGGTAAGCTTCCTTTTATCTTTTAAATAATAAAATAGTTGAAATTTAAAACTAGTTTATTAAGAAATTTTCTCGTTTAATGTATTAAAAACTTAACCGAAATTTGGAAGAATTCGCTCATTTTTCGTTAATTTAACAAGTAACACTTCATAATTGCGTACAGTTTCGATGATAATAAGCTTTCTAATTATTATCTTTCGGTAGCAGATCGTTTAATTGGAAGAAAAGGCAAAGCGTTGAAACCAGAAAAATTAATTAACCATGTTTTTCTCCGATGTGATTAGTTTATCTTCTCTTCTCCTTAACGATTTCGATGTTTGTGCGAATACGCTTATGACATTTCACAGATATACGTTACATAAAAATATATTTGCCGAAATTACAAAATTTGCATCTACAATAATTTCTTCAAAATTCTTATTAAAAAAACATTTCTTCTCTTTTTAATATACGTGCATATTTGTAAATCGATTGCCATCTTCTATAGGCAAGATGCTAAATTCTTCAATGATAAAGTAGAGAATTCGGGAGCATTTTAAAAGTAAAATTCGTTAAGTTTTAAACCCGAAATTAATTTAATTCGAAATTTCAATTTATAAATAAAGATTTAAAACGATTAGAATTTATTTTTTCCACTCCTCTCTTGTAAACTTCACGACTTAACACAACTCGGTTGCATAATTTAACGATTTAGGATCATTTAGAGCCTTAATATAGGAAAAATTGACTACCTTAGAGCTTAGAGTGGAAGAAAAATTTAGAAATTCGTTTATTTACTTTGAGAAAAGGCTAATATTTATAATAAAAATGAGCGCAAATGCATAATGTCGCTGAATCTATAAAGCATAACAAACAATAAAGAATTCAATAAGATTTACTAATTTATTTGTTAATTTATCAAAAGATTTTAAGATTAAAAAAAATATTAGTTTTAAATGTAAATTTTAGTGACGTAAATGAGAGTTATGTGTTATATAAAAGATGAATGCAGTTATGTACTGTACTTTAACTGTAATGTGAGCTTTAGATTTAGGATTTATAGGTCTAGTGATAGATTTAGCATTATTAACTTGATTTATCTTTCCAGCACCGCAAACAGCCGGACATATTAGGCCTGTACTAATTCTATAATAGGTTTAAGTGGATTTAATTTATTTAGAAAACATTAAGCATAATCGAGCTAAATTAGACTTGACACTGATACTAACTATTATTGTCCAGATCTAATTACTCCTCAAAGAGGATAATTTCCTAATAGAGAGAGCGCTAAGTAGTACTAATTTATGAGGATTATAAAATTTCCCCGCTCTCTATGGTTATTAGGCCTATAGGCTATTGATCAGAGACATTTTAAGCTGTTTTAGCTAGCGTGCTTGTAAATTATGGCAGATATGTGCCTAATTTTCTGATATAATGGTCGACGAATACATTTACAAAAGGTAGATAGGTAAGTTAACAAGCTTATCAACTAAACTATTTGGCCTAATTTTGTTTGTAACAATGCTTTTAACGGAAAATTTGGCTAATTTTGAAGTGATTCTTAATGAAGATTGCTGCATTCCCGGTCTCCTCCACTATCTAACAGAGATAATAAAATGTAACTTTCGAAGTTTACCGAG